TTGCATTAAAATTTTAATTCAAAATTATAAATTTTCTAATTTATCTATTAATTTATGGTTGAGATTGGACCTCCGGTTACCACAAACTAATTAGTTCTCATTTGATTAGACTTATATATATATATATATATATATATATATATATATCTTCAAATGAATGTTAAAAATGTTTATATATTAGAAAAAATAAGGTTTATCTCTTTTATTTATAAGAATTTTATCTTTATTCTTTTATCTTCTCTCCTTTCTTTTGAAGTTGTTCTAGTTGCCAATCAGACAAAAAGAAATCCTCTAATGTGAAAACGTTTGATGGGATAATTGAATACAAAATCAAAGTAATTAAAAAAAGATATTCAAAACTGAAATTCTTCATTTACTGTTATTGGAATTTGTTGTGATGATCCAACAACAGAAATGGCTTCGGGTTATCTCCAAATCTCAAAGTCAAATCCATTATTTTTCTCACCTCAAAATTTGTGATCCTCAATTGTGCTTGATAAGGTCTATTAGCTTCTTTGTGGCTAGCTTTTGGGTGTTTTTGAATAATGTTAATGAAGGAGAACGATCTGCTAAGTATTATTTTATAGTTCTTGTTACAAACTTTTAATTATCAGATCGAAGAATGGTGTTTGTGTTTTTGGTGATATGCGACCAATAGTATGCGGTGAGTATTTTGGAACTTGCATGTGTTTGTATATGTAGTATCATTTGATGTTTTTTAGGTTGAAACATGTACAATGATGATGAACATTTAGGTTTTGATTTTTCCAACTGTTATATTCACCGTCTATATGATCAAAGGCTCATGAAAGGACAAACCAATACAAGTGCAAAATAAACCATTTTATCAGTAGCTCATTATATAAAGAAAAAAAAACAGATAACTTTTCATACCTCAGGATGTAACAAGACCGTCGTCTGAAATAAGACCATTGAGTTCCTATGAAACATAATTGAACACCATCAAGCTAACATCTTCTCCAACTGAAGTTTATTATCTGATATCGAGCTCTTATCGTGTATAACATATACCATAAAATGTAGAAGAATGTGGGACCAAGAAATAAAATGAAAAGAAAAACACATAAAGACGATCACACATATATTCAAAATAATAGTTGTCGTTGGTGGTTCTAAATTTCAATTCAGTATTGTTAGCTCTGATTTCAAGTCAACAACTCTAACATAAATGAGAAAGAAGATGAAACACATAGAGGGAATATACTAGAAATTGAGGAGAAAGTTTTTTAGGAAACCTTCAAATAAAAACGAAATGTTCAACATATTTTTTTCAACAGCCGAATACTGAAGATATATTTTGATATATGATGACATATTTAGTGCTTGTGGTTTGTCAAAAATAACATTTTTCGTTCTTATAGAATGACATGGCACTATCAGATTTGAGTATTCCTCAAATCTTGAAATGTAGTTAAATTTCTTTATTTCACATTGGTGGGAATAAAAAAAGTGGAAAGAATAATATGTGTATATCTATACTATCTTATAAAGCATTTGGCTAAAACTCTTAAAAACTCTTAAAC